GTCAACTCTTTAAGGATATCTTGTTAACTCTTTAAGGATATCTTGTCAACTCTTTAAGGATATCTTGTCAACTCTTTAAGGATATCTTGTCAACTCTTTAAGGATATCTTGTCAACTCTTTAAGGATATCTTGTTAACTCTTTAAGGATATCTTGTTAATTCTTTAAGGATATCTTGTCAACTCTTTAAGGATATCTTGTCAACTCTTTAGGGATATCTTGTCAACTCTTTAAGAATATCTTGTCAACTCTTTAAGGATATCTTGTCAACTCTTTAAGGATATCTTGTCAACTCTTTAAGGATATCTTGTTAACTCTTTAAGGATATCTTGTTAACTCTTTGACAATATCTTGTCAACTCTTTAGGAATATATTGTCAACTCTTTGACAATATCTTGTCAACTCTTTGACAATGTCTTGTCAACTCTTTAGGGATATCCTGTCAACTCTTTAGAGATATCTTGTCAACTGTTTAGGGATATTTGACAACCTGAACCCTTTAAGTTGAAGAAAGGATTCTGAACAGGGAAGTAGGGGTGTTTTGTCATCCCTTTAAACTCCAGCAAGGTTAAGTCAGTCTGACCCACTGTAAGATTTACTACACCTACTTGATGTTGTTATAATAATTGAACTTACTTTGATGTCGTCATGCGAAAATTTTAAATTTCCCGTAATTGAAGATCAGCTCAAAGATTACAAGGCGTAAAAAAACATAATTCTCTTATTTGATTGTACTGATGTTTTGTAGATTTGGGTAATTTTTTTACTGGGGCGTAATCTCTGTGTGAATCCAACATTTTTTGCTTTTGTGTCTATGAAATATAGATGTGGATGCCTAAAAATGGGTGACTCTTTGGGGGGTCCATTTCTAATAGTTTTGGATCCATGAAATATATTTTAGAATCACCAAAGTTATTGAAACAAGCTGAACTTCATTGATACTGTAGGAACCTACATCATTTGAACCCTAATATAAAGTTAGAAAAATGAGTGGATGAGAAGGGAAGCACAACTTTGTGGTTACTCGGAAGGTAAGGGCAAACCCTGAGCCCAGTCCCCATAGCCTACAGTCTACAGTGAAGTAAAACCATGTGCCTGTGTGAGGGGGTTGTTGGATACCCAGGGTGACCCCTTCCCCACAGTCTATGCAGTCTAAACTGTCAAATATTTGTAATTATTAGTATATAAAAGCAGTAGGCCATATATATATGAGTTTCTACCATTGAATTGTAGTAAAACATTGTACCTCTGTGGAGAGTTTAATATTTTCTCTAACCCCTGGGCAACTCTCACCAAAGCCCACAGTCTATGCAGCCTATACTTTTAAATATTTGTAATTATTAGTATATAAAGGGGGAGTTTCTATCAATTGAATTGTAGTAAAACATTACGTTTAGTATTTTAAATTCATTCATTGACAAGTAGAAGTATAAATTGATGTTTATTTAGTCAGTACATTGACCTAGGTAGTATTAACAGTTATTACTGTTAGTTTATTTGATGAACCTGATTGAGGTGTTGAATTGACAATATTACCTATTTTAAATTACCACCTTGTATTGAAATCATTTCAATCATAGACTTACTTTTTATATAAGGTTCAGGGAGCCGTGGTGGCTCAGTGAGTTAGGGAAAGGAAAATTGGAATGATGCAAATAATGTCTTCAATACACATTAAAAGTTTACAAAATCTCTTTAAATCCCTTAAAAGTCAGTCTAACTACAGCGGACAGAGGACAACCTCTGTGAGGAAGACAGCCCTGGCTAGTTCTTGGGTTTAATCAAAGCTCATAAAACATCTGATTTTGATCTTCTAGTGGTCAATTTAATCCTTTGGTCATTGAAATTTGATATTTGACCACATGAATCTTGTATCAGGATTGTTTATGGGATGGGAAACAAACTGTTATAGTGGTCAATACCAGACTGTAAATATTGGGTAACCCTGATATAACTACTGAGGTGTGCTTTATGATACTGTTACTAGCCTTTGATAAGTTATCTTTTCATCATGCATGTTTGATAATGCCCTGCAATAATGCCCCACTTGATAATGGCCCACTTGATATTGGCCTGCTCTAAACATGGTTTAGTGCTCTTTATAAGCCATGAAACATTCAATATAAGTGCTTGTTTATAGCAATTTTATCATATTTTCATTGTTGGTAATTGGTGTTGTTAACTTTATTGTTAAGGCCCTCTACTTCTTGTTTTGTCTACAGCCAAACCAATTTTAATTTTATGTTTCATACAGTTGAAATGTTTTGATTAAAACTTAATGAAAGTGACTAATGAATTAGGTAAATAATAATGTGGATGGAAGAGATCGGTTTATTTTATTGAGGTACCTGTGTAATATGTAATATATATATCAATGGTCTATTGAATTGAAGGAAATGTTAGGTTTGTAGGTACTCAGCCCCTCTCCCCTTCAACCTTATCCCTGATATAAACCAACAACCATCAAATATCTATCTCCATTAGGTCAATAAATATAGAACGTTGGATGTAAAACTTTAATTTGTATTTTTATTGGCCTATTATTATTTACCCCAACAAAAACACACTGAAGTTAAATTGCCCTGGATGCCTCATTACATTTAAATGATTCAAATTACCTACAATTCAAATTCTCTTCAAAACACTCATAAATTACACATTAACTTGTAAACTAAATGAAATGTTTAATTAAAGTTATAAAATGATACTATACAGACTGACAGTGGCTTTGTTTTGAATTTACAATGTTTATTAGCCTGGGATGCTTTTTAAATTTCTTTTTGTTTTTAATGATATTTTGTATGTTAAGAGTGATATTGATAAAGTGGAAGTTAATGGTTAAAGAGATAGTTAAGATGTATTCTAAACTTATTATATGTATCGGGGACACTGGTAGCATCAATTTGCACCATTCCAATTTTCGATCAGAGGACTGTGGTTCCTGCATTTCCACTAAAACTTGGTGTTGATGATGTCACTGAAGGCCTTATTTGATAAAGCATGCGATTTGTGACTTCTTAAAACACTCAGTTTTAGTTTAATTGCAGACCACAGACGTCTGATCAAAAATTGGAATGGTACAAATCGATTCTATTAGTGTCCTTCTTTACAATCCCTTTAAGAAAATTTACAATTGGTAGTATTTGATTGAATCAGATGACATGCAAGTGGTAGTATTTGGTTTGTATTGATATTGTCAGTGAATTGTCACACCAGAATTTCCACTTCAGTGCTGTTGATAACTCGACAAGTTTATTCAGTAAAATTAACATGATTTATCATCTGATTTATTTGAATTTTTTTGTATTTTTTTAGATTATGACTTCAGGATGTTTGCTTCATTGTGTTTGCTTCATTGTGTTTGCTGTATTGTGTTTGTACAGTCAACTAACAGGTACTTTAGATTTATATGATTTTAAAGTAGGATTAGGACCAATCCAGTGAAAAATGTGCTATTTAGAAAACAGTTTTAAAAATTTGGTTTTTGACTATTCATTGTTCATTGATTTGAAAATAAAAATTCCTTAAAATTGAGGAAATTATTTGAAGACATAAAGTGGCAATGTGTGTTGATTTACAGGATTTAATAATCATAGACATAATGAAGAGTGTGATAAAAAGTCAATGCTTAAAAAAAGTCAGAGATAGTTAGAGCTAAATGAAGTTCAAGAAAGAATGGAAAAATCTAAGTTGGCTGAACAAAAACCCATCTATTGTTGAACAATGGGAGAAGGTTTCATTCCTATTTTATGAATCTTGTACACATTCCCTGCAATTTGTTTACTAAAAAATTGTTACAAAGGTCAAAGGTTTTGGAATTTGGAATTTTTAGATTCTCACAAAACATGTCCTTTTCTTGTAATCAAACTAGTGGTGGTCAATATATCAATGAGTTGGACACATCATGCCACAATACAGATACATCATGCCACAATACAATCATGCCACAATACAGATACATCATGCCACAATACAGATACATCATGCCACAATACAGATATTTCATTCCATTAAAAAGTAGGGGATTTTTGATTGGAATCATGGAAGAGAACTGTTGATAAGACAGTCAGAACCTAAATTCAATAAAGTCATTTTATTAGATGCTGCTTTACTTTTAGTCCGTTATTAAATTTTATTTTGCCTAAACCTTGATGCCCAACCCTAACCCTTGATTTGAAAATGTAAAAAAGTCTTCCTTAATAAGAAGGTGTTTTGAAAACACTTTGTTAAAGTTATCTTTCACAATCATAGAGTAATATATATACTAAATAAACTACTTTATTAGCTATGTATCAGATGCTGTTTCACTCTAAGTTGAATTATTAAATTTTATTTTACACGAAGAGAAGACTTCCTTAATAAAAAACGAGTTGAGAAAACACTTTGACGAGGATATCGCACATTATCACTATTATTCATTATAATTGTCAGAGGGCACAATTTATACCTCAAAATAGCAATTATTATCACTGTCCTTTTAGGTACAAAATCATTTATAATCTTAGGAAAAAAATCCACGAAAATGTAGTAATGTTTAAAAAGATTCAAAATTTTGCCTTGAGGCAATTTGTGACAAAAAAAGCATCAATTTTCACACTACCATTAACGTGAGTGGATCCATTTATCTTACACACATTACTAGTTCACTTTAACACCATATATAGTTGTTGTCGGTGTAAAACTATTATCTTCAGGTAAAATAAATTAACAATTTGTTCAGTGCAGAAGTATCCTGGTTTAAAATAGATTTCGTGAATTTCAGTAATTCAGTAGATATTATTAAAGTAATTTTTTTACATTTTGATAACGATAGCTTAAAGGGACAGGTTCAGAATTCTTCTGACCAATTGTACATTAGTCTCAGAAAGGGGATTTTATTTAGCTAAGCTAATTAGTAATAGTGTTCACAGCTTGCCATCGAATTTTGAGCCTTCAAATCCATGTGTGTCTAGAATTCTGGACCTCAATGATAGCAAGCATCTTGCTCATTGAACGACTTTGCTAAAGAAACACCTTTTCTCTGAGAGTGAAGGAAAGTTGCTCACCCGACAAATGCTCACCCGACAAACGCTTCCCTGACCAATGCTCACCCGACAAATGCTCACCCGACAAATGCTCCCCTGACAAATGCTCCCCTGACAAATGCTCACCCGACAAATGCTCACCCGACAATTGCTTACCGACAAATGCTCACCTGACAAATGCGCCCCTGACAAATGCTCACCCGACAAATGCTCACCCGACAATTGCTTACCGACAAATGCTCACCTGACAGTTGCTCACCCGACAAATGAGAAATAGGACAATTGCTCTCTATATTTTTATGAACGTGACTGTACCCTTTTGATTTTTTAAGAGTGTGCTCAAAAAACAATTTCACAATCTCACTCTAACACTATTTCAATAAGGTCTACTATGTTTGTGTTTTTTTATGTATATTTTTATGTAAGTACCTCATTACATAGCCCATTATCTAAGATTAAGGGCGCTGAATGAAATGCTTTACGCTCTGTGGTTAATTTTTAAATTAAAAACAATTTTAAATATTTCCTTGTAAGGCCTACTATGTATGTATTTTTCTTATGTATTTAAGTGAATCATTACATAGCCCTTTATAAGAATAAGGTGTGCTAAAAGCTGTACGCTTCTCTGGTTTATTTTTAAATAATTTTTACATAGAGAAATCACATAGACAATTCTTTATTCAAATTTTCATCAAGAGATTTATTCATGAATGGATCTCAATGGGTGACTGATTGTAAAATAATTACTTGTAACCACATAGAAAAGATAAGGGGTAAAAGAGTCTCCTTGAGTTATGTAACATTATATGGACAGTAAATCAACCCCCTGTTTGGGTAAAAAATACATGTTAACAATACAAGTTTAATAATCTATGGCTAGTGATTAAGATTAAAGGACCTATTGTTCGTCTTTTCATTCATTGGCCACCTTTTGTGATTTGATGAAAAGTGGAGCGAAGTTCCGCTGATCAAGTTATAATGAAAATAGATTGTTTTTGATGATAAATCTAAATCCTGTCATTCTTTGATGCACGCCTTTCTTACATTATCGTGTTATTATCTGTAATTAAATTCCGTTAGAATTCTATAGCTATTTTAGTCGATTTCGTGTCTTTTCTTCGGTCAGAGTGACTTGTTGACTTTGATTGTTACGTTGATAAACATTTGTTATCCTGTTTTAATCTTAATCAAGGAAGATTTATAATTAAGTTTTATAATAATTCAGGGTTTAATTTCATAACAATTCTAATAGCAAATTTCTTAATTTTACAACTCAGTTTTGGCTAATTTTCAGGATGTGGAGATTAGATCTTAGATTAGTCAAAAATTTAAAATCTTAAATCCCAAAATTTAGATAGGACTTTGAAAAATTAGGAAGAATAAAATCTAGAAAACTACTAAATAGAATATTTCATTAAGATAACATTTGATATTATGAAAATATTTATTGTATTAGCAACATTGTCACTATCAAATCTATTATGTGAATGTCAGTGTTCAGTGTTGGGTGTTCTAGAAGATACTCTCCTCTAGAAGCACTGGCCAAGTTCACAAGAAGAGAACATACTTCTTTTACATCAATTATCAATTTGAGTAATAAAGAATAAATTGAATGGTACTATAATACTATTCGCTGAGTGTAAAGAGAAATGACAACAATGTTAATTCTGAAAAGACTGAAATAATACAATGTTTATAAATAATAACATTTGCTTAAAACACATTATGCAATTGTTTTATAGAGTTAATGTAAGGTTGAATTAAAAACTGAGAGCACTGTTTTATAGAGTTAATGTAAGGTTGAATTAAAAACTGAGAGCACTGTTTTATAGAGTTAATGTAAGGTTGAATTAAAAACTGAGAGCACTGTTTTATAGAGTTAATGTAAGGTTGAATTAAAAACTGAGAGCACTTGTTTTATAGAGTTAATGTAAGGTTGAATTAAAAACTGAGAGCACTTGTTTTATAGAGTTAATGTAAGGTTGAATTAAAAACTGAGAGCACTTGTTTTATAGAGTTAATGTAAGGTTGAATTAAAAACTGAGAGCACTGTTTTATAGAGTTAATGTAAGGTTGAATTAAAAACTGAGAGCACTGTTTTATAGAGTTAATGTAAGGTTGAATTAAAAACTGAGAGCACTTGTTTTATAGAGTTAATGTAAGGTTGAATTAAAAACTGAGAGCACTTGTTTTATAGAGTTAATGTAAGGTTGAATTAAAAACTGAGAGCACTGTTTTATAGAGTTAATGTAAGGTTGAATTAAAAACTGAGAGCACTGTTTTATAGAGTTAATGTAAGGTTGAATTAAAAACTGAGAGCACTTGTTTTATAGAGTTAATGTAAGGTTGAATTAAAAACTGAGAGCACTTGTTTTATAGAGTTAATGTAAGGTTGAATTAAAAACTGAGAGCACTTGTTTTATAGAGTTAATGTAAGGTTGAATTAAAAACTGAGAGCACTGTTTTATAGAGTTAATGTAAGGTTGAATTAAAAACTGAGAGCACTTGTTTTATAGAGTTAATGTAAGGTTGAATTAAAAACTGAGAGCACTTGTTTTATAGAGTTAATGTAAGGTTGAATTAAAAACTGAGAGCACTTGTTTTATAGAGTTAATGTAAGGTTGAATTAA